CCCTTTTATTTATAAATGTTTTCCAGAATTTACTGCTGTTTTTATAAATTCTGAAGCACCTAGAATTTACTTTTTGCCGAAACCTTTTTGATATTGTTCTAATTATGACTTAACATTTCGGTTGTTTCTGGGGTCTTTACTTCGAACATAGCGGCGCCCAAAAAGTTATAATTTAAATGATACTGGAAATTTTGGAAAAAGAGCAGATTCTTAGATGTCTTGAAATTTATGAAAACAGCTGTAAATACAGCAAATAAATGTTTTATGATTTTACAAGATCGCCGCCTTTATAATACATGACCAACTAGTAATTTGGTTTGCCTTTTGTGCTTATTAGTTTTTAAAAATGAATCTAGATTACTAGCCTCAGAGCATGTCCTTACATCTGTGCTGCAGTAATTTTAAGAGTAAATTTTGATGCAAAAACTTCTACTATAGTTTTCTTCACGATTTTTTGGCATTCCATAGTTCCATAGAGGATTAACTACAATATTGGCCAGAGTTAAGGTTAGAGGTAACGCTAGAGAAAAATTATTTTAGTAATGCTAATTATTGCTGTGTCCATAAGCACATGAATGTTCTAAACACTAATCTTAACATTAATGAACTTTAAAAAATTTGCATGTACCACAAAAATGCCACAGAATTTTTGAGTACATGGTAACTAATCAAGGAACAAAAATTTTTAACAAACACATATGGCCCAGGTCGTAGCGCATAAACTGACCAATCAGGATGCTTTAAGCAGACAAACACCTTATACCAGGAACATAGCACAAAGTACGAAGTGTATGGTTTACAACAGGAGGAACTGTCAAGGTTACACGACTGATCCTTTACCCGGTATGCAACATATAAAAAAATTATTTTACAATACCAGATTAACCCGCTAGTACATGTTATAATTATAATCCAACACCATTTTTATTATAATAATTGGAATTGAATTATAATCATAACATGTACTAGCGGAATGATCTGGTATTGTAAAATAATTTTTTTATATGTACACACCTCCTTCTGTTATGGTTTACTGAAGAGTTAAGTGTCCGAAAATGTCAGTCATACTGATCAAATATTGTATACTGACACTTTGAATAATTAACATATGCTATAAAAAAAAAAAAATGCAAATTAAACGTTATGCAATCAAAGGATAATTCTAGATCATTATGATAATAGCTTTTAAATACATGAAATTATTCTTGTTTTTAACTGTTTTGCTAAAACTTTTCCAAATGTATTGTTTGTTTTTGAATTATGAATATTATATAAATTTTCTATTTAAAATTTATTGATATTTGCCCAATATGCTTTATTTCGACCAGTGCAGTTCCTGAAACACCTACTGTTTAGTGACACAGTAAAGATATTTTGTAGGGCACAGCACCCAATACCCTTAGAATAGTGTTCCCAGTATATTTAATACTGCTGCAAGAAAATTCTAACTTATACCAGATATAAGTTAGGTATAAAAGACTAATATTGTGTAGTAAAAACAAACCTGTCAAAAGATCGGTTCAAACACCAGTAGAAATAAAACATATTGGGCAAATATTACAGTTTTTAGTTCTGATATAGTACTGATATAGTACTGATTGATGGTTTGACCTGTGTCATTTCCAGGTTAATATCAGAACTGATAGAGTTATTAATAAAATATTAGCAACCCGATAGCTCTTATAATTTTTTTAATAACTCTATCAGGGCTATTAATTGGTCCAAAGATTGGCAGTCTTTTAAAAAGTTAGACTGAACTGCAGTCCAAAACTGATTACGACTGATCAGTATGAAACTGGATGGACTGGTCATGAGACTAATTAAATGTAACATAAGTTGCACCAACATATTGATTATTATTATCAAATTATTAGTTTATTACTTGTTTTGTTACATAAAAGTTACTTCTAAACAAATATTTAAGTCTTTCTATTATTATTAGAACTAGTAATGGTTATGAACATTGTATTGTAAGTATATCTAAACAATTATTTTAATTAAAAATCTATCTATTTCTTGTTATTATTATAATAAAATAGAGGGAATTGGGTTTAAAATTTTTTAAATTTGTTATCGTTGTCTATGTTTCTAAATACAGTATTAACCTCTTATATAATGTATATTTATAATAGTGCTTATAATCTAAATTCAACAAGTCACAAAAAATTAGTCAATATATATTCATTACAATAATTTAATGCTAACCATGTTAGGGCTGATAGTCTTTTGGTCTGTTCTATAAAGGATGTAAGCATTGAATATGTGATCAAGTGAATATTCACTATTTAGCCTATGACTTTATATCAACTCAAAGTTTTTTCACAACAATAATAAGATATTTTATCTAAATTTAAATATAATACAGTTTTATTTCCTTTTTTTTTAAAAAAAAAAGTATAAATTATCTTAAACTAAATATTAGTGGTATAAATATTATTAAATTTATTATATAATAAATAATTATGGATAAATGATTAATCTTCACTCATGTTAGAATAAACTGCAGCAATTATGGCGATTTTTATTTTATTGACACGTGATGGCTTTATTTATTTATTTGTTATTTTTTTTTAAACATAGATCATCTTAAACTAAATATTAGTGAGATGTAAATAAAATGTTACAATTGATAGCATTTGAAGATATAGATATTAAAATGCTATAATCGTGGTGATCTTATTAACACATGTCATAATTTAATTCAGCCACATATATATAATGTGGCTTTTATTTCATTTTTTTTTTAAAGAAAAAAATCATCATTAAAGTAGTATTAGTGATGTTGATACAACTAAAAATAAAATTCATAATCGATAGCATTTTAAAATATTAAGTCATATATGAAAATGGTACAATTGATATATTGTAGTCAATCTAAATGAAAGGGTATTTTCCAATGTGACAGTTAATCTTAATTTTTGACTTATTTTAAATATGCTAAGTCTCAATTTTTTTTATAAATATAACTTGAATTTGATAAATAATTATAGAGGAGCTGTATCTAATTTGAGCATAATGTACTAAGGTGGAACATCAACTAAGTAATCAAAACTATGTTAGATAATTATAGCATTTCTTATATCACAGATTTTTTACATTACACAAACAGCAACCAAATCCGAATTGTATATTTAATACTGTAATTACAGTAAAAATATAATACAGTAACAACTTACAATAACAATATAATACAGTAACAACATAATATGCTAATAATATAACAATAATTTAATAAATAAAATTTAAAATATTATTTTTTGTCAAATAGATTTTTAAATAAAATGTTTGCTCTTTTTTCACATACATTATTGTTGAAATTTTCTTGGTCTAAATCTTGGTTACATGTAGATTTTAGTTACTGTTAATGTTTTTCTATTCTTAGTTTCATCAGATTCATGAAGCTACAACTGATTTTTTTAAGTGATACATTCGACAATCATAACTTTGATTGCTGAAGACTACTTGTTATATTAGAATGAGTTTTAAGATCCCATTTATTGAAAAGACCTTCTACCTGTTGTTGGTGGATTACAATATACCAGATTTAGTACTTGACAAATTCAAATAATTTAGAAAACTGGTTTAAAGATTTGTGTAATTCTCAAATGAATTGGTAAAATTTATAATTAAACATTGGATCTTTTAATGCATTAAATAGATCAAAGACATTAAAATCACCACTTTTAATATCCAACTCAATAAATTTCATATAACATAATTCTCGTAATGAAGGTACTGATATTCAAGATATTTGTAAAATAATATAAGCATAGCTTTATGCAAACTCCTGTCCATATTTTCTGTCTAGATAACAAATACTTAATAGCAAATGCAACTAACAATTTAACTATTTCTGATAAAATTCTAATGCCTTTTGAGTTCCATGTTCAATATCTAAAGTAAGTTTATTAAGTTGATGATTATCTAGTATGTAGGTGTTTTCTAATAGTTCTTCTTCAAAAAATGAATAGAGATTTACAATAATATTTTGAAGTTTTGCTATTATATATACTACAAACTTTAATATTTGATATGCATGCCTTCTAGGAGAGAGATTTGTTTGTTTAGAAATTTGGTCATTTAAATATAATTCAATGTTATATACTGTTAAAAATTTAGCTATTGGATAATAAAAGTCCCTTCCAAATTGAACTAAAAATTTAATTTGTATATTTAAAATTAGGTTATGAAGCCATTTTTGCAGTAATTCACATTTTTTAATATATGATTTTGGGACATTAGTTCAGGCTTTAAGTTGAGACAAAAACCACTCTGTAAACTTTATATGAAGATTCCTATATTCAATATATTGTTCTGTATATAATAATTCATAAAGCCATTTTAATCGAAGTGGCTATTGATATTTTGTCATATGATATTGAAATCAATCTTTATATAGTTTGTAAATATAATCAGAATGAATATCCATTAGTTAGTTTTTGTCAAAGTTATTATAACCATCATAAAGGTCTCATACTAAATATAAAAGATTTGCAGGATACTTTTTTTGTAAAAATCCACTAATATTAGACAACTTCCCAAATGCTATTTTTTCAAACTTATTTATAATAATATGCTCCACATAAAGTTAACATGATATTCGAGTTATATTATTTTTACTTATTTGATTGAATAAGGTAATCACACCACCAGATTTTCTACTTATATAATTTGTATTATCTGAAATGCATACCAAACATTGATGAAAATTAATTTTAAAATGATTAAAGGTATTATATATTGCCTAAGCTACAGATTTTCCTGTACAACTTGTCAAATCTTTCATTTCTAATAGTTGGAAATCAGGTTGATTTGTTTCTGAATTCCAAAATATAATACATATAGTACAGGACAGTAAAAGACATCCAATCAATACATATAGGTGCCAATTTTTGGTTCTTATATAATTAATTTTGATTGGCTAATTTTTGTGAATTAATTTTGATTGGTTAAAAATATATATATGTTTTCTTTTTTTTTATATTAAACGCCAATTTTTTAAACTCATATAAACTTTATTCTTTTATAACTTTTTTAAAACAAAGAATAAAAAAAAATCCTTTGACAGAAATGTAGTTTATCCAAAAATCTATCAATTTGTCAGAGGTTTTTTTGATTTAATCTGTTTTAAAAAAGTTATAACACTTCAAAGTTTTTATTAATAAACATTAGATATCTTTTACTGTCTGGTACTGTAGTATGAATATTTTTTGTTGACCATGCATTGACTCATCCATCATTATTCCAAGAGTAAAAAAAGTAGAGTAATTGTTTTTATTTAGAATTTGATTAGTATGAATTTCACTAATTTCTTGGTTCCATCGAACAATTGATATATGTGAAGTTGGTAAAGACAACTTTTCTTCAGTTAAAAAATCTAAAATTAACTATGTAGCTTAAACAGTATTTCTAAATGACATTGACTAATTTGAGACATTTGAGTTGCTATATTTATAAATTGTGTTGTATAATATCACTTATTTTTTTTTATAATTGCTTGAATACTTGCATTTAAACTTCACAAATCTGCAAGTTGAGGTTTACGGGCAGCAGCATGTACTTTTGAGATGTGCTGGCTTTACTTACACTTATACTGTAATAAAGTTCCTACTAATTGTTTAACTTTATCAGTCATCTGATTTGTCACGCAGATCATGAGAATAAATTTTTTATTATAAAATTTTAGTAATCGACATTTATATAATCATTGCCTTTTTGATAGTAAAGTGTAATGACTAGCCTTTTTTAGTTACAATTTTCAAAGGGTTGTTACAAGGAAACCGCACATACAGATTAAGGTTTAACGAAGCACAAAAGTATATATTTTTTTGTAATCTAGCTTAAAATGAGATAAATCGTAAAGCTAAAAAACATCATTGCTGCAAAGTTGATCTTTTATTTCAATTATATATGTATTGTACTGCCTGTAAATTTTTTTTAAAAAAGAAATAGTATTGAAGAGCCTAATACTTGCAAACCTAATCTTTAAAAACCTCAAGTAAAGGCGATTTATAATATCACTTTGAGTATTCATTTTAAACATCATTTTATTTATTTAACCTAGAGTTTATTTGATTATATAACAATTTATTTTAAACTCCATGCTACAAGCATGCTAATTCAATAAATTTTATCTAGTGATACTGTTGAAGATCGAAATGTATTTCAACTGATCTATTTAGGGATTAAAAAATTAACGGTTACTTTAAAAAAAAAACACTGACTTTTCCAAATCTTGATGTAATAAACTTGGATTGGAAGGAAGCAAATCATTAGCAAATGCATTTTACAAGGCATCACGCTGATTCTTGAACATAATAAACTTGGGAACAAGAACTCTACTTCTCCAAATCTTGAGTGTAATAAACTTGGCTAGGGAGGAAAATCATTAGTGGATGCACTTTACAAAAACACCATGTTTATTTCTTGAATTTTGAACATAGTAAACTTAGATCATGAGAAGAGAAGACGTTAGTGGATGCACTTTACAAGAAAATCACACCAACTTTCTGAGCTTGAATGTAATAAACTTGGCTAAGGAGAAAAATCATTAGTGGATGCAGTTTGCAAGAATATCACTCTGACTTCTCTGAATCTTAAAGGTAATAAACTTGGATCATGAGAGAAGTCATTAGCGAATGCACTTTACAACAACACCACATTGACTTCTCTGAGTTTGAATGTAATAAACTTGGCTAAGTAAGAAAATCATTAGTGTATGCAGTTTGCAAGAATGTCACGCTTAGGGAACTGCGGACCTAGAGAATGTAGGTCCTACACTGCAAGGCCAGGGACCCAGGATGTCAAATGACATACTTAATGGTGCATGAGCTATTTCACTGATTCGGTAATGTTTCAAAAGGCCATATGCATGCTGTTGATCTCCACTAGAATGATAACTCTGGCCTTAGAGAAGTGAGAGAAAATCCTAAGGTGTCTAGGACCTTCAAGATAGCAGAGAGAGGTTAAAATCAAAAAAAAAAGAATGTTACACTGACTTCTCTGAATCTTGAACGTAATAAACTTGGATCATGAGAAGTCATTAGCGAATGCACTTTACAAAAGCACCAGGTTGATTTCTCTAGCTTGAATGTAATAAACCTAGAAGGAGGAAAATTATTAGCAGATGTACTTTACAGGAGCACCACATTAATTTATTTGAATCTTGAATGTAATCATGAGAAAAAAAGTCATTAGCAGATGCACTTTACAAGAAGCTTGAATGTAATAAACTTTGAAGAAAAAAAAAAACATTAGTAAATGCACTTTACAGGAACATCACGCCGATTTTATTGAATCCTGAACGTAATAAACTTGGATTATTAGTAAATGCACTTCAAAAGAATTTTGTACTAACTATTAATTACTTTTGAAAGAACTATGCTATTGATGAAAACTATTATCTAATGAAAATTTGGGAAAATGGGCCTGATAATGGATTCATCATTATAAATTTGAAGGTATGGATAGAATTTTCAGGCTCTGTTATTGCTGTGAATACATAGTTGGAATTAAACCATTTATTTATCAAGGATTGCAGGCGAACATATTGAAATAATGCGCATGGATTGTTTCACACATGTATATTTATACTTGTCACCCAAATCCCAAACTATTATAGTTTGGGTTTGTCGTGCCCAAATCCCAAACTATTATAGTTTTGGTTTGTCTGCGCCCAAATCCCAAACTCAAGCTCAAATTAATATCTCAAAAACTTTATTAATAATCTTTATTTAAACAAATAATATTATATTCTTATAGCTATATATAATATACAGTAGAACCTCCATAAGTGCACGCCCTCGGGACTGAACTTTAACAACTTGCACTTAGAGAACAATAAGAAAAAGTGCTTTTATAGAGGTCATGCATATATTTGGATCCAAATTTAAGCATGCATTTAGAGAGGGTGTGGAGTGCACTTATGGAGGTTTTACTGTATTTACAAAATATCAATTATTTTGTTGATTTGATTTTTTATAAAAGCAATTTGCTTTTTTGGGGTTTGAGATTTTTTTAGGTTTTGCCAACAAGTATATGTATAGTACACTATTATTTAAAGTTTCGATGAACACCTAGATCAAACTTATTTTATTGATTGTACAAAATTTTTGATTGTTATACTTTGAAAATATTTTTTTTTAATAAAAATAGAACTATAGTGTTTGTGAATTAGCTTAGAAAATAGCTCGATTAAAAAATATTTTAAATATTTAAGTAAAAATAACAATCATAGAAATGTAAATAATAATTAAGATTATTACAGTGATAAATAAAAGAATCACAAAAATTTTAACATAAATTTGAACCAGTCATAAGATCGTAATGCATAACAACCTAAATGTTTAAAACTTTTAATTGATAATGTAATTCGAGAATAAAAAATTTTTTTAATTGAAAAAAAAAATACCAAATATAAAAGATGAACCAGAAGCAAGTGACACATTTATTAATTCTCGACATTGTGGTACTAGTTATCGAATAAAATCTCTGATTACAGAAGGTATATTAAACTCAAAATAATGTAGCAAAAAATAAATATACCAAGACGATAAGAAAACTGAAAGACAAAGCTTAATAATAGACAGTGATAAAAGTCAAAAGCACATAAGAATTCTGTGCCCAGTTTCGTCGATCACAATCAACAAAATTAAGAAATTTTTCTATCTCAAAATTTTGCCTATAAAAAAGTTTTTTTATCTAACTCTAGCTTAACCCAACTTCAAATTACCTAATATAGACCGATGTCGATCAATCTAGGCCGAATAATCAACAAACCTGGTGCAGAATTCATATGTGCAAGTTAAAATTCAAAGAATTTTAATTATGCACTAATTAAAGCAAGCTTGATTATACTGATTTGCTCATCCCTGCTTGAATGTAGACAGAAAACTGCAACATTTTTGTAAAAAATACAATTCACAATGAAGTTTTTGAATTTGAAAAAAAAAATTAGTAAAGCAACACAAATAGTATAGTTAAGGAAGATTCGAATTTATAAATATTTAAATTGCACTTATCAAAATATTAACCCGTGAAAGTGGATTTTACTATCCCGAAAGTAGAATTTATAATTTTCATAATTTCTTCGTATATATATGTTGTGCCTCATACTAAAGCTTGCCTCTAACGCACCTTGGATGCAGATCATCGGGTGAGGTGCGTAGCCTATCGACTTGTCATTTAAGCTGTGATCTGACAAGAGTAAAATGAATTGAATAAGACCTTTTACTTGGGCTTTTTTTTTATGCTTAATTTCTCGAATCTCTTCAAGATTTTTCCAACTCGTAGCATTCTTAAATCACTTTAACGTCTTTTTACCTCCAGTATCTTGAATCACTTTCTTTTACTTCCAGTAGCATTCTTCAATCTCTTCAGTATTTCACTATAAAACAGTAGAATTTTTTACATTAGATCTCTTCAACTCTGTTCTTTTCTTTGCCTGAATTTTTGCGACACACTCTATTTTCAATTTCTAATAATGCTTTTTTTTTCTATACATATAGTTTTTTTTTGCCTGAATTTTCACAACATATTCTTCCTGTCTAAGCATTTTCAGCACATTCAATTTCGATGATACTTTTTTTCTATACATTAGTTTACTTTTTTTGTCTTAACAATCATGCACCTCACCTGACAATCTATATATGAACTGCATAAACTGTGATCTGAGGCAAGCACTAGTCTAAAGCACAACATATATAATGTTATTACCCTTAAAAAATTTTTTTATTGCCTTACCATTATTATTATTAATTATTATCATTTCTATTTTTATTATCCATATTTAGATTATTGTTATCCCAGAAATAGTTTATCAATCAAGGGGCCTTTTGGTATGAATTTGGTATTATAATGTATTGTATTAACCTATGTGTGTGGAAGTAATAAAAAATCTATTATGCGATGAAATAAATTTAGCTCTCATAATATATTTTTTATTTTACTTCCAAGTTAGTGCACATATATAGGTTAATACAATATATTATAATACAAAATTCGTACCTCAAATCTACTAGTAAATTCACTTTGAAAGAGCCCAAGATTAGGATCATTGTACATCGAAAAAATATTTAAATATAGTGCAGTAGTGATTGACAGATCCACGCTATTCCTTTTTTAGTACACAATAGATCAATTACCACTATTTCTTATTATAGTATACATAATTAGTAGTAATTATTAAAGGTATTGTAGTTGCTTGAGTATAGATATAGAGAAAAAGGAATTTGTATAAAATTTTTTTAATGATTAGATATTGTTCTCATATTGTTGTCATTGAATCATTTATCATATAAAGTAAAGAGGAAAGTTGTTTCACCCAGAAGTTAGATGCTGCAGAAATTCTTACTTGTATTTAAACTCTCAGTTTTTACTTCAATAAAGTTTTCTCAGACTTTGATCTATCTGATAAACTAATAAATATAAATTAGTAAGCATTTCAAACCCGAAAGCACTTATATTATTGTTATATTATCGTATTGTTACAAATTGATTTGTTGTATTATCATTTCGTCTAACTGATTATCGACTTATTCAGCTTACGGCTCAATTAACTATTGCATCATTGTCATTCTTAAAATCTCAAATTATTTATTCATTGATTACTAATCATATTATTATTATTCTTATTAC